AGAGTGGTTTTTTTTTCTTTTTTTGTACAAAAAAAAATATATATATAAGCAGGCTGGCTGCCAGGCAGCCTTCGATTTCAGAGCTGTTGAGCATCTAACGAAAACGAGACAGATGCGAAGGGCATTTATTTTAAAAGTAACTGCGTTTGTGCAGTCATGCACGGGTGTGATGGAAAAAAAAAGAGCTGGACAGAGTACAGAAACTGTGAACAAAAATGAAACTTTCTAGCTGTGGTGAAAAAAATTGTTTATTTTTGTTCAAACCCAATGTATGTTGGGGGCAGGGAGGGGACTATTTGTTAAAAGATAGAGGGTTTTGGCACTGCAGATGATTTTCCCTGGTTCCACAAGTTTCCCCTCCTGGGTAGAGAGAATGCTACAGGTAGTTTACAGGACATTAAAGATTAGTTGTTTTCTTTTTTTTTTTCCTGTGCTTTTTTTTCATTTAAAAATGTTCACCTGCCAGCAGAAAACAACAAAGCAAGTCAAGGGCACCCATCAAGAATTGTCCCTTTTGAAAAGACCGCTTGTCCCCTTTCTCCTGCTTCTTTCGTTGCCCTTCGGAGAAGACACTGACCCTTTCGGTTGGGAAGTGCAACACAACATCTCAGCGAGAAAAATGGGAAGCCCTTGCTTTGAACGTAGCTCCTTAGTAATGAAGAATTGGAAGTCACATATGGGACTGGATTTTATGATCTGTGGTGGCTTAACCTTTGCATGAGGAAAAACTTTATAGAAGGTTAGTCCTTAGCTGCTGAAGAAAGCGATGAAGATGTGCAAAAACTAGTCCTTAAGTTTAAAAAAACATTGTTCAAATGGAGCTAGTGCTAGAGATCTGGCAAGGGTTAGCTACAGCGAGTTAAAAGGGTTGGTTCCACTTGCATGACTGTCGGTCAAAGAATAGGCCGAAATACAACCTTTTGTTACTTAAAGCACATTTCCTTTTATTATTGTAATCAAGAACATCGTTCCTAGCTGTGTTTCTCCATCAGCTAAAGAAAGACAAATGGGGACAGCAGGGACAGGCACACAGCAAGGGGGCTTTCTGGCACTACTTTTTCCCCATCCCAGCATGAGCTTCACAGCTGTAAGTGGCTCAGGATACTGCAAAGAGAGAGAAAATGAGCCCAGACCCTGAATCTGTTCCAGGACCCTCCCCAATCCCCCTAACTCCTACCGTGTCTTTTCCCCTTCAGTACATTTTTACTCTTCCTGAAGGCTCTGTCCTTGTTCCCTAAGCCCTGTGTGACTGATGCAACTCTGGAGCAGCAATGTGTATAGCTTCTTGAGTTAGGTTGGCCTGGCATTGGAAAACACCTTGATATTGCCACGTTTGCTTACTCATCAGGCTGGTGCAACCCAGCAAGAGCTTTTAACATCCTCTGTTTCCTGAGCAGAGGGTAGACAGACTGGATATCGCAAGAAGCTTGCACATCCCAGTGATCGATCCAGATCAGCAAAGACAGACAACACCGTACTGAAAGTCAGGGCAGATGCTGAAGAAAAATACCCTATTTATTTCTTCTCTGAATTCGTCTGCTTCTCTAAAACCAGCTGCTTGTAGCTGAGTGCATTGTGTTTGCTGTTGTAGATGCTCGGCTGCTGTTTGTTAGCAGCAGGGACACATCCAGCTGGGTTCAGGTCACATTGTAGTGTACTAGCAAATCTCCCAGCATAATTTTAAGTTCTTCTTCCAAATACCCCTGCTCAGGATCTGTCTAACACTTGGTCTGAATCTGAAATAGTAAATAAAACAGTGCCAAGGAATGTTTCCCGGAACGGGAAAGCACTCATTTATTCTGCTAAGTTGTTAACATACTTCCCAGCATAGTATTAGCCAACTAACACTCGTACAAACAATTCCCAGGCACAGTTTGGGAGTCAGCTCGGGAATCATTTCTGAGTTGCAGTTCGATCCCTGCTATCCAGCTGCCCTGTTTGGGAGATAAGTTTCACGTTATGGCGTGTGCCAGCTGGCCTCAGTGCAAGCAAACAGTCCTGAGTATATTTAACCTACCAGGGTCAATGCAGTCATTATTGCTAAGTGCTTTCAGATTGCTCCAGTGCAATAACAGACACAGCTCCTACCTCACGTCATTTCCCCACCTGGCTATAAGCTCTGGAACTTGCTGCAGTCTTCATTTCCTGCTCTCTGGAAGTGATTAAACTTCTCTGCAACTCCATCCCAACCTCAACATGCAGCACAGCAACACTGGACGTACCTGGTCTGGTGCAAGCAGGGTAGGAGGGCACGAAGCGAAAAATAGTTGCATGAAATAAAATTTGAGACAGTCAGATTAAACAAAAACAGGGCCTTCTGAAGGTAATCCTGCCTGTCTCTCTCCTGTGTTATGCTCCCTGCCTAAGCAGGGGAACCCCTTTATCAGTTCTTCAAAAAAGAGGCACTACTGCAACACCACGTGGACACTTTCACCTTGCCTGTGTGGTTTTAGGGGAAAACGTGCCCAAAGGAGAGCAGGTTACATTTGTTTTGAAGGTTTACACATAGGTCTTCCTTGTGCCGTGCCCACCAAATGCAACAGGAAGTTTAAAAAAAAAAAAAAAAAAAAAAAGCTTGTCACAAAATCAGGCTGAGCATACGAAATACGGCACAATTTACTCAGTAATCCTGTTCCCTTTCCCAACTCCTTGGACAGCCTTAGGTCTACATTGCCTATCTAAGATAACCTACAATTACAAACAAGACAGTATTGTAATGTGCAAGTGCCAGGGGTAAAGTTCATTTATTCCATTATTACAGGCATTTATACAATACCTATATCCATAGTAACACTTTACGTAGCTTAGATTACAAGCAGTAACATTTCAGAACAGAGGACTATCCCCTGATAACACTGAAACTTTAATCAGGACAGAAACGGCAAATGGCTCCTGGCTGGCTGAATACTGAGGGCAGTCAAACTTCCAGTCAAGCTCAAGAAAAGGTGTTACCATATTGCATTTTGTGAACATCGGTAGTCTTTAGTTTAGACGCGTTTCCTAAGAAAGCACGGTCTGAACCAGCCCTTTCAAGATTTTAATTCTTCACTATACCGCAGCCTCAAGCATCACTGATAAATTATTTGGAGCAGCTTAATCTTAAAACCCTAATGACTGAGAGCATGATTCTACTTGCCTGCATTTTGGACAATCGTTTACACCCTAGCGACGGACTTTCTGAGCTACTGCGTTTTGCAACCCCTTTGTGCTGCTGAAAAGAAACAAATGGAGCATGAAAGAAGGCAAGCCCTCAGAGCCTTAACATTATTCCAGTCTTGCACTTTGCCTTGCTCACCCCTTGAAGGGCAGCAATAGAGGCCAGACTATCCAAATCAACCCTTCACTCAGCTGAATATAGTTGTTTAAGACTAAATATGGTGGTTATCTAAATTCTACTTTTTTATAAAACTGTGATATTGAAGAGTCAGCTGCTACCTTGCGCTGGAGGTGTTCACATTATAGAGGCACTTGGACCTTAACGTTTCCAGGACACTTAAGAGCTGCGCCCCAGGTATGCCCAAAACAGTCACAGTCAGGGTAAGGAAACCAAACTCTCCCAAAGGCTTCTGTCTGGCAGGAGCCCTTTGGGAACCCCCAATGCACACACATACGGTCAGGTCCCCAAGAGAGTCCCCTCCATAAAATAGCTGCTTGCAGGCTTGTGAATGGTTGGGAGCTCAAGGGCTCCTCCATGAAGTGAGGAGGCCTACATTAGATTTCCTCCTCATCCTGAAGAAGTTTCCCCTTCCCTAGCGCCCCATTCCCCAAGCATGACCCAGAGGGTCACAGGAGCAGATCTCCAACTCACTTCTGTTGAAACAGCATCATCCTGCAGGAAGGAACCCAAGACTGTCTGGGCCAGAGAAACTGCAAGACCAAACATGTCCAGGCGCTAAAGGCTCAGCTGAGGAAGTCAGCTTGCACTTCCTGCAACATCTCAACAGGGACCAGGACCCAGTTCCTCCCTCTCAGAGGGGAACATTTCAACAGCTAGAGCCACACTGCTTTTGTGTTCTCTCTCTAGCCCAAACATTCCTGTGCTCTCTCCAAGGACACAGCTCCTGGAAAACTCCCCCCTCTATCCAAGACAGCCCTGGCACCAGGTACTATCCTAGGGAGATGGAAAAAGGAGTTTAAAAGCTCTCTAGGTTGAGGAAGGAACTGAATTTTCTCTCCCACTTCCCAAGCAAGTTTTCTAATCACCAGGGTATCACAGGAAATACATGTCATCACTTCCCACAGCCAAGTGGGGTTTTGATTTATTGGTGTTGTACTTCTATTATTCTTAAAGTGAGCTGTGCTCAGTTCCTTGAAAGGAGAGACATTCACCAGTGTCTTCAGGCCTGTTGTGGCTCTGCATTCCCTATAGACAGAGGCATCTTCCTACCATCCAAAGATGCTTCACAGTCAGAGGGCCAGGATTTCAGCCACTGGGTTCGTAGCATTTCCCACCGACTGTCCCTGAGCAGCTCCCTGACGGCCACAGCAGAACACGCTCTGGAGGCGCTCTCTGTGCTCTGCACAGCAAGCCTAGGCACTTAATTCAGGGTTTGAAATTCCCCTCTGAATGCCGGGGCCTGTGGCGCATGCTGCGGCACTTCACTTGTTAAACCCTCTGTTAAATTTAACTTAGCCACCTTGACTCAGTCCACCACATTTAAAATGTTATTTAAAAAAAAAAGTGCTATGTAGCAGAGAAAGCTCTTAGAGACCCTGGGATGATAGCACTATACACAAGTAAAGCATTTGGAAATTGCTTTCTAAACAGCAGGATGGATTGCACTTCTTAAGTTTAAGCATTTCTCCCAGCAGGACAGAGCAGCAGACACAAAGACAACTGTTGCTCTCAGAATTCTTATTTATTAAGAGCAGAAAGGAAATCTTGCTTAAGTTTTATACATAAAAAAGTAAACAGTAAAATTTTCTTTTTAAAGTCTTTCCACTGAAGAAAATTGAGAAATAAGCTGTCTTTTAGATAATGTTTATTTAAAAAAATAAAATTAATTGACAAAGATACCACACTATTTTGCATGCCAGTCATCCCTTCCACTTGCAGTACCCTGCTCAATGTATTGTTCTTTAGCATTAAACTGCTTTCATCAGCAAAGCATAAGCAAATGAACCACATCAACCTGGACTCAAACCTTGTCAGCTACTTCAGCTGCACAAGCTAGTGCGATATCTCTGTTTTTACCAGCTCAGGTCTTTAGTAAATAAATTTCAAGTGGACACTAAACAAGTATTTCACTAAGAGATGATGAAATATTAAAATTAAAAGCAAGTTGTATTGCAGCTTGTACTTATACTACATTAGAAACTTGAGTCGTTTGGGGATCCATTCACCATATATAGATTATTTTGTAATCAAGGTAGTTACAAAGACAGAGCATTACTCCCTGCATGCTTTCCTGGGCATTGAACCAACAGAGTTGACTACACGTAGAGTTGACTAGGGTGTACTTGGAATTCACTCTCTCAGGCAGGAGACTAGTTAAGGAGTGTTACCGATAACAAAGAATAAAAGTTATACAACATTGATTATCATAAATTAATTTGTTCTTATCTGCTTTTGCCTTAGTCTCCTACATATCTTCATATCCCTTGACGTAGAAAGCCAACTTTCTTATCTCTCCATATGGCGACCCCCCATTTACTAATGGTGATTAGAATGTGTGGAGGAGGACTTGATTCTGAATACGTGGATGTGCAGATGGGCAGCAATCTGATTGCACACACTGACACAGTAACGAAGCAAATCAAAGAGAGAAAAGATCTGCCAAGGGAAAAAAAATTACATGTGTTTAGATCTATGTCTCCATGACAGAAAAGTATCACATGGTTCATGATCTTCAGAATAAAAGCACTCAGGGTCTGCTTTTCTAGAACCAAGTCTCCGGCTCTGCCTTTACTGAATGTTTATTCCTACAGTTTCTAAAGATATTGGGTTTTCTTCCAGCTTTATAAAACCATTTTAAGTCTAGAGTCAGGGGGAGGGGAAAAGGAGTTTACTATACAGATAATATGAAGTGCCCCATTAACTCTGAATAGTGATAACAGTACATATCAGTTCTATTTATTAAAGGGGTTTACACTGTTTTAGTAGAGTAAGCTTGAGTGTTCTGTAAGCACATGTTTACCTTAAGATTTTTCTTAACATTTGCAGCTAGTAATGACAGATGTACATGTCAAGAGATTAAGGCATAGCCACACACTTCACTTTACTACATTCCCTTACTAACTAGGCATCACCACAGATCTTCAAAATATTCAAAGCTTAGAATAGAGTATTTGCTACGTGGCTTTAAAAGTCTGTTTAAACTATGCACAGAGTCTACACTACCAAGCAAACCCTGTTTACCTCAGTTGGCATGAGCCCTATTTAAAAATCAGCTCAGGAACATTCCCAGACCACCATCCTCTAGGGGATTAACCAAGGCTCAACCAAGGCAAACAGTATTTGTGAAAAAGCACTGAAATGCTTGTAACAATTGCTGGCAAACAGAAATTGAGCCCACACTTACCAGGGCAATCCAAAGTACAATATACTCATCAATAAAGCTGTTAAAATACTGGTCCAGAAACAGCAGTGCTGGGCCTATGAATGCTGTGTCGTGCAGGTGCATTTCACTCTTGGTCATGTGTGCAACCTACATTAAAAAAAAGTTTAAGTAGTAAACATACTCCAGCAAAGGTAGAGTGATTTCAGAATACACAGCCAAAAAAAGTTTTCATCCAAGTAACATTTATTATGAGCTATATCAAGTACTTAAGTAGCAGCAGTAATCCTGTTTAGCTATAAGAGTGTACAGCCACACAAGATGCAAGGTTTGCAGAGAAGAAATATCTTTCATTAAGACAAAGAACGTAGCTATAGGAAAAAAAATTTACACTTTTTCACCCGTAAGTTTTTCCTCTTGCCAGAAAGAAAACAGTAAATGGCAAGAGAAGAGTGAATTTTTATGTTTAGTTGAGTCTGGAAACAAAAATTCACAACTGCTAGATCTCAGAGACCCTTGGTGTTCTTCACACCTCACCAACTGATCGCTGTCTGATGAGGATAACCGTCTCTCTGGTATAAGTTCAGTGATCACACCTTTTCGTGCCTGAGCACAGCCTTCCTGCTCTCCCCCACGTGTGCACACACACACACACACTGCACAGAGGCTGTCCTGCACCACATCCTCACTTTTACCAACACAACTGTTTATGTGACTGTGGGGTGAACAGGTCTTGGTTAAAAATAACCCTTTCTTTCCCTGTGAGTTATGTCCAACACTGATCCAATTCACATGGCAATACAAGGTACGTCTTCAGAACTAAGGAGGTGGTGTGGGGCAGCAGCTCTGCGTTCAACAGGGCATCCCCTCCTCTCTTGGCAGCATTGCCATCTGTTCCCTGGTACAAACCAGTTAAACAACTGGAAAGAAATAACGGCAGTTACAATTATTAAGGTAAATTCCAAGTAATTGTTCTAAACGTCACATAACTTTCGTCAGAACTCTTTAGCTGGCTTCAGCAGTTCTTCCTCTGCTCCTTCCTCCAGCAGGCTCTCCTCCCCTCTGCACCTGCACGCGGGGAGGGTTTCGGCCAGCTCTGTTCCCAGCCCAGTTTATCAACCACGTGCACAAATGCATTGCAGAAATGTGAATGAACAGCTGGGGAAGAGGAACAGAACTTAGGGAACTGTAAACTGTACTGGCACTATGTAACCACGGCCTGAGCTTGAAGTTTACTACTCCTGTTTCAAATGCAAAGAAAGGCTCATGTTCTATTCCCCTTGTCAAAGTCGTCGTGAAGCGCAAGCACTGAATCATTTCAGGAAACAAAACAGGATAAAGTCAGTCGATGAAACATGCAGAGAACTTTAAAAGCTACAAAAAGTTCTACTGCAGTAACAAAAGAAACTTAACGATTCAGAGGCACTTACCACCAGCTTATTTGTTATCTTAGCAGATACAAAACCAAAAGTAAGTATATACAAGCAGGGATGCTTTTCAAAGAGCTGTACAGCAGATTTCTTGTAGATCATTGCAGCTAATGCGATCACTGACCCAATATGAAGAAAAGGTGAAAGGACGCTCGTTCCCTACAGTAAGATAAAGTGTTAAATTAACAAAACATACACATTGCAAAAAAATTCAGCAAACCAAACACTTGTGTGGTATGCAGACAGGTGGTTTGTAACTAACATCACATTAAAAATGTGTCTTTCAGTACACGCATACTAGCGGGAACAAAATATGTTGAAACCTGAACGAGTGTTGTTTGATGATGTGGTTGAGCCTTTCTTGCGCTGGCACCCACTACACGCCTCGTGTTTGGATTGTAAATTAGTTTAAGTCACAGCCTCAAAAACAAGATGAGAGGGAGAAGAGGCTTTAGGCAGCAAAAAAACGCACAGTTTTGACACTTGTCTAACAGGTAGGGGCTGATTCTGTTAGCAAGTGACAGAAGACAGTACTACTGACTGTCCTTCTGTGCCAGCTAGACAAATTTAACTAAAACAGTTCTTTTAGGAAACAAATATTTATTATGCTGGTATAGAATGGTTTCTTGGACAACCCCTTGGACTCCAAAAATCAATCATCTTCTCTACTGAAGCTGAAGATACTTTTCTAGTTCCCCTCACTTGTGTAATGTTCATGTTTTCACTGAAAACGCACATCTTCTAGAAGGATGAAAACCATAGCCAACCTGCTTGATAGACGTCCTTCTGAACGGATTTTTGCGCTGGGCTTTTTTTTTTGAACTCTGAGGGAGCGTGTATCTGCACAACTTGTTTTCTATGATCAATTCAAAAGCTAATATCAAAGTACCATAAGCATTTTTAACCACTCAAATTTTAAAACTCTTTTTTGACTCCTAAAACCACTAGTCTCACGCAGACAATATTTACCTTTTCTCCAAGCCAGGAAGGAAGTGAAAGGAGACTACATGTAGGAGCTCCTACATTAAATCAAAATTGAAGACATGTCTGGAAAGCCACAGGGTGCTGAAGAAGAAGTAAAAGCAGCAGAACCAAGTACTCACTGCTATAGTGGATCCATTTTTGCCAACTCCGCCTGTGAAGATCACACCAAAGTAGTTTGTACAGGAGAATATGGTTCCAGCGACAGTACAGAGAGCTGGGAATATTTTCACCTGAATATTCAGCACTGGAATCTTAATGGTAGAGAGATAATAAGTTAAAGTATGCACAAGCCAACTAAAATTGGGTTTACATATTTCTGGTGCACTCAAACACTCCACTTTCCAATACCACATTTGCTTTTCTCTCTGGTACACAGAGATTTAATTTTCTAGGAAGCATATCAGAGAAATATGCATTTTTCCCAACAACCCTTCCATCAAACTTCCCTAATCAGTGGGACTTATCTTCAATTACCTGAAAAGAACCATCAAAAGCAGAGAAATGAGCAGAAACCTTCTCTCAGTACTGCCCTTCCAAACACCGAGAACTCACTAGCTAAGTCCCTTACCTATCAGGCAGAGAAGTGCATCAGTGATCTTGTCCTGAGCCTGTCGTAAAAGCTTATGGCTGCAGCTCAAAACTAAGTTGGGCAATGCAAGAGCCATTGCAGAGAATTAAACAAAGATCCTTAAAAAAAAAAAAATGTATTCTACCCTATGGGCCGTACAAAGAAAGCAAACAGATCAGATAGGTCATCTCAGAGAGTTATCCAGCTTAAGAGAGCAAGCGATGGGGTTGCTAGAGAAATGAAAAACGAGCACAGCCCACTTTAAAAGGCAGTAGGCATCTTCATTTACTAGTAGTGTTTTGAGTGCAACAGAGGAAGTTAGAAGTGAAGAAGAAAGTTCACAAACCACAGCAGATGTGTCATGGAAGCAGGTGTTGAGAGAAAGCTACCCAGCAAAGCTTTCCTACTTTACCTATGCAACTACTAAAAGCCTTCTTGGTTCAACATTTGCAGTCATACTACTCCCAACTGAATAAACACACTTGGCTCCCAAACAGCAAAGAGTTCAGTTACATACAGAGCTTCAAATGAGGTCAAGTTGTTTCTATTTTAGTATCTTAAATTACACTCTCAGCATAGCTTTTAGCAGATACAGATTCTTAGCTTTCTGTTGTGTTTAACAGCTCAGTAACCTCTCAGTGTTTTCAGGACTATACATGACAATTAAGAGCCAGAGCAAGCTCTACCTCTTCATGCTCTGCTCTTACAGAGCCTACAGATGAGCAGACAGACCGTCTCTCCAAATCACTGCCTGCAAGGTTCCCAGGTGGCATAGCTCCACGACACTCAAACATGCTTCTTCCCTGCTCAGGCTGCACTGTTAGTCAAAGAAAACGTTTTCAGAAAGATAGAAAAGAGAGAATAACGACAAGTAAACAAAAGCCATAGCTTGCCACACAATAAGAGTGCTAACTGAAATCAAACATGCATTAATATTACTAGGCTCAGGAGTTCAGAAGGTCTGACCCCAGTCTTATAAATGAAGGCAACTGTGCTGCCACCCTGCTTCAATAAAGATACTTTGGTAATTAAAGAATGGGGTGAACTTGCTCTTCTACAAGAGGAGGAATACAAGGGCAGTTCTTTGTGCCCACAGGAATCAGAAAAGATTAAACTTGAAGTTTCCCAAAGAGAAGGGAAGTGAGTAGGCTGGGAGAAAAAAAAAAAAAGGGCAAAAAAGCAAACAGGATCTGCAAACCACTCCTAACATGGCTCTGAGAATGATGCTAAGAAAGGGAGAAAGATGAGACCACACTGATAACATCCACCTTTGCTAGAGCCTTATTAGCACTCTCTTGCTTCCACTGATAGCTGGATCAGCAGAGAGCAATAGGTCTTAGACTGCACTTATCTAGCAGAAATAAGCAACAGGAAACAGAGCTACTTGTAAAAGTTTGGCAGAGATAAAGTCAGAGGAGAGGTATAAAAAGGCAGTGTCTGCTAAATTGCTTTGCATCCAAAATAGATGCAGCAGGGCCAAGAGTTAAGAGCAGGAAAGGCAAGCAAACAGCATGGCAAAAAACCCTGAGCAGAGGGAGAGAGGGAGTTGTACTCGGAGATCTTCCTACAAACTGACATTTCAGTCCCTGGCTTTTTCAGTAAGAGGACACCACAGGGTGAACTACAAGATTTCCTTGTCTGATGTTCCACAAATCACTAAAGTCCATGCAATTACTCTGATCTTGATGGTAATTCACACAGGCTTCACCAGAAGTTCTGCTTGTATTTGACTTCTAAAAACTATATAATAATGCTGAAAAAGTATCACAAGCCAATTACGAAAGCTACAATCAACAAAATACACAATTCTGCATTAATTCAGATTGTTTCGCTTTTCACATGTTAGCATAAGAGAGTGGAATGTTTGAGCATACAACCATATATTTTATTCCATTAATTTCTTTTTCCTTATAAAAACAAACCAAAATACCAAACCACCAATTTTGCTGTCACATGAAATGCTAAAGAGTTCTTCTCGTGATATATTTTGCTCTACAAATATAAACATTGTTTAGTACTTGCAAATAAAAACAGAAACTCATCAGCTGAATGAAAAAGGGAAATTCCTAATTGTCATGGGAAATGATGAAGTTTGCTCTCTGGAGAAATGCATCCATAAATCCAACACTGGATTTCGAAATGTTTTAATCTTTTGGGAGCTGTCTATGCAAAGTCTTGAAATTTAATAAAAGTTCTCTGTCGCAGCAGCACTTGGCTGAAAAGGATAAAGTTATTTAATAATAAAAGGGAAGAATTTTAGTCTGTCTCATGCAAACATCATCTTGCACTGAATCAAGCCAGAAGTTGCTGTGGCAGCAGTTATTTTCCCTTTTCTTTCAGGGAAAAAGAAAACTGAAAGCATGAATTGGGAAATCTATTTCTAATGCAGAATAGTAGCTTTGTGGATGTTGACCACCCTAATGTCTTTGGAGAAGTTTGGCACCAGTAAGCTGACTCAGAATCATATTTTAGAAATAGTTCTGTCCACATTCATACTTTGTAGGTGGTATTTACTTTGCAGATTATGTAACAGGCTGGGAGGTACGGATCCTTCCCCCCCCCCCCCCCCCCCCTTTTAACCCTGGAAACACATGTAGCAAAATTAGGGTAGCCAAGGTTAGCACCTTACTCTAAATATTCTCTACAACATTAGAGAGTTCATTTATCTACTTTTATGGAGCAGATTAGAAATTCAGTGATCCGGGGTAGTACGTTTCAGTAATTTTTGACCATCTCTTGGTTTTACTATAGACCAAGATTTCCTTATCCATCTTGAGAAGTACTTTCATCAAATATACAAACAAGATCAATACTCAGGAAGGAAAACCTTCCACAAAATCAATACTTTAGAAGTTAGCTCTTAATTTGTTGTATATATGCTTCTCTCTGGGCAGCTGTTTCAATAGCCATGGGGAGACTTCAGTAACACTAATATAAAATTTAATTGTGATATCCCATAAACCCACCAACTGACAGGCACTGGTGAGCCTCATCAAGTCTGCAGGATCTATACCCAGTCAGCCCATGGCAGTCAACATGCACATTTAGGATCATCATCATTAAAAAAAAAGAATCATGTGACAATTTCTCCACATTCAGACCAAATTATCTACTGATGGTTACCAACTGCTCCCCAAGAATTCCCCCCCATAGCTTCAACCCAATTTAGTACTCTTCTGTTTGTGATCTAACTTGCTGCATGAAGTTCATTCAAGCTTTGGTCAACTCACTCAAAAGAAGCTGGACTTCAATAAAAGATAAAATAATATCCAAATAGTACACTTAAGTTTGTGAAGTGTTTGATATCCTTCTACCTGCAAAACAACACAAAATAATGGCTTCTTTAAATAACTCTGGCAAAACCAGAATGCACAATTATTGCCATTTAATCCATACTTAAGAATGCGTATTTCCATTTAGGAGGAAAATGGAGATCTTTCCCTCACAAATGAAATTGTACTGCTCTACGCAGGTAGCTCTTCCAGCTTTCTACTAGCTAAGCAGGATAAAATAAGAACGGAAATATACATTAAATAGGATATACAACATGAACAAAATTACCAGAGATTGCCAAAAAGGTGGTCCTCCAATCACTGCCAGTAAATGCATGATTATTATGAAGATTTGCACTTCAGTCACATCAATTCTGATTAGGTACAAAAAGCCAAAAAAGCCAGAATTATTCAAAGCAATTTCAAGTCAATTATTTGCAAGCTCAGCAGCTCCTCTATCATGCACAGTGTAAAAATTCAAAACGATTCAGGAAAACAAGAGAGGCATTGATAATTGAGAAAGCAAAATATATTTCAGTTTCTTTGTTAAAAGTAAAAGCCACGCTGTGGGTTTTTATTTTTTTAATTTCAGTGCAATAAAAATCCATTTTGTCAAAGGAACAGTTGGAACTCTTCTTCAAACTGACCAATATCAGTTGCAAAAATATTCAGTTTTAACCTTGCCCACCAAAAAAACAAATTGATTTCAAATGATAAGATTCGCAAAGATTTTTAGTCTCCACTTTATTCCCTATTCTACTATTTTTATTAAATGAATGTTCTTTCAGAAAAGTATCAAACTCGCAAAAGGAACTTGAATCCCTGAAGAGCTTATGCAAACGTGAACTGTAGAGTCAACTGCATTGCTAAACATTACACAATTTGGTATCCAGCACGCAGCAAGAAGAGAAACCACTTCTGGTTCTAACATAGCTAGCGTTTTGTAGAAGGGCAGGAAGGAAAAGTTTACAAAAAAGATTCGAGTTAAGACTTTGTTTTAAAGATCACGCAGAAGTCTCAGTGCTAGCAAGAGGGAAAAACAAGGCCATACAAATCAATTCCAGAAGTGCGATTAAAGAAAAGTTTAAGTAAAATATAAAGAAGGGGCACCTTTTGGTGTATAATGGGAAGCCATATAATACTGTCTCATACGGCAATACTGTTCCAAAACTAATCCTTTGGGTCAGTTCCAAATATTTATGGCCTATGTGTTAGCTCTACTCATGAAGTTCTTTCTAAAATACTCAAAATCAGTTCTTGTGGATGCATGCTTCGCTGTTGTAAAGATTCTATATTAACCACAACTGCATAGGCAGCAGCAATAACGGCTTGCTTTTTTTCCTCCAAATGACCTACAAGACCACATAAGGAATAACCCCATGCACCAGGACAGGCTGGGAGTTGACCTGCT